GCTGCTGCTGCTGCTGCTGCTGCTGCTGCTGCTGCTGCTGCTGCTGCTGCTGCTGCTGCTGCTGCAGAGCGGGACCGGCGGGAAGAAGCCTCGAAGCGGCGGGTGGAGCAGCGGCAGCAGGAGGAGCGGATCCGCGCGCGGAGCGAAACTGCGGCGCTGATGCTGGACGAGATAAAACGCATCGGCGGCCGCGACAGCAAAATCACCATCAAGGGCAAACAGCTCACTGACATCAACATTCAGGACGTGCTTGACGGCCACGTCGACTACGACGACCTCGAGAAGGCCCAGCGACTCCAGCTCCACAACGTCCGTCGCTGGCTAGCTGGGCAGCTAGCTGGCTAGCTAGCTGGGGGCTGGGGAGCGGGGGAGCTGGAGGGGGAGCTGGGGAGCTAGCTGGGGAGCTAGCTAGCTAGCTGGCTGGGGAGCTAGCTAGCTGGCTAGCTAGCTAGCTGGCTGGCTGGCTAGCTAGCTGGCTGGGTAGCTAGCTGGCTGGCTAGCTGTCCTAGCTAGTTGGCTAGCCAGCTAGCCAGCTAGCTAGCTAGCTAGCTAGCTAGCTGGGTAGCTAGCTAGTTTAGGGAAGGGGGGTCGTGTAGTGCTAGTGTTAAGGACTGGCGGGCTAGGAAGTGAAGGGGGGTGGGACTTGCAGCTAGCTGCCGTGCTGCTGCTGCTGCTGCTGCTGCTGCAGGAGCGTCTGCTGCGGGTGCGGCAGCGGCGGCTGAACCTGAAGAAAGTGTCGCACTACATTCGGGCCTGTCGAGAAGCAGAACTGCCGCTGCTGGCTGCCTGGGCGCAGCAGCAGCTCGAAGCAGACCGCAGGGTGCTGCTGCAGCTGCAAAACAAGCACGAGGAAGGCAAGCAGCAGCAGCAGCAGCAGCAGCAGCAGCAGCAGAGGTGGCAGCGTTGTTGTTAGCGTTGTGTTTCCGTGCTGCACATTTGCTGCTTCCAGTTACCACTCCCTCGTGCTGCAGGTGCAGCTTGGGTAAAGAATGACCTGCTGCTGCTGCTGCTGCTGCTGCTGCTGCTGCTGCTGCTTGCAGAGCACCGTGCTGCATTTGCTGCTGCTCTTGAGGAGAAGGCGGCCTTCGACGGAGTGCAGGAGGACAAGCAGCAATGGGTGGCGCGGCAGCTGCAGCAGCGGCAGCAGCAGTTTGCTGCTGCTGCTGCAGCGCAGCGGCAGCGCCTGCTGCAGATGCTGCAGCTGCAGAAGGTGCAGCGAGCCAGAGAAAGAATGGAAGCAGCAATAAGGAGGCAGAGAGAGCTTGAGGAACAACGCAAGAAAGAAGAAGAATTCAAGGTCTGCTGCTGCTGCTGCTGCTGCTGTTAACGCTGCTGCTGCTGCTGCTGTTAACGCTGCTGTTAACGCTGCTGCTGCTGCTGCTGCTATCTTTGGTGCTTCATGCCCTTGAGTCTGTGGTTTGTTTGGTCTGTTGGCTTTATTTCTTTGCTGCTGTGCCTTTTTTTCTGCTTCGGATTGCTGCTGCTGCTGCTGCTGTTTCTGTGTAGCTGCTGCTGCTGCGCTGCTGCTCATTTTGCTTCTGAATTCATTTTGCTGCTTCCTGCAGCGGCAAATGGAAGAAATGGAAAGACAAAAAGCAGAAGCAGAGGCGAGGGAGAAGCGGCTGCAGGAGATAGGTGAGAAGCAAAGACAGAGAGAATTGGAAATCGAGGTATCTTGCTGCTGCTGCTGGCCTTGCTGCTGCTGCTGCTGCTGCTGCTGGCCTTGCTGCTGCTGTTGCTTCCAGTGTTGCTGTTGCTGCTTACATTGCTGCTGCGGGTCGCGGCGCTGGTGCTGCTTTTTTCCTTGCTGCTCTGAAGCTCTTGCTGCTGCTCTAATGTGCGCGCTCTTGCGAGTGTGCTGCTGTTGCTGCTGCTGCTGCTGCTGCTGCTGCTGCAGGCGAAGCACGGCCTTGCAAACCGAGAAAGCAGCAGACGGGCAGATAGCCAGTCTTTGAGCCACAAGTCGGAGTCTCCTGCTGGCAGCAGCAGCAGCAGCAGCAACAGCGGGCAGCCGGTGTCGCCGACAGGGTCGAGGGACCAGCAGCAGCAGCAGCAGCAGCAGCAGCAGCAGCTGGAGTGGAGGCGCAGCACGCCGCTGACTTCTCCTGATAAAGGCAGAGAGACTAAAGGGAGACAGGAGACTTTCTTCCGCAGAGGAGAAAGAGCAGAAGCAGCAGCAGCAGCAGCAGGCGAGGTCCTCAACTGGAGGAACATGAACAGAGACAAGCAGCAGCAGCAGCAGCAGCAGCAGCAGCAGGACTTCCCGGTGCGCCAGCAGCAGCAGGACTTCCCAGCACGCCAGCAGCAGCAGCAACAGCAGCAGCAGCAGCAGCAGCAGCAGCAGCAGCAGCAGCAGCAGCAGCAGCAGCAGCAGCAGCAGCAGCAAGACCAGCAGCAAACAGAAAACCCGCCGGCGGAGGATGAAGGCTTCACTCGCGTGCGGCGAAGAAAGTAAAGACAGCAGCAGCAGCAGCAGCAGCAGCAGCAATCGGTGTCGCCGCTGCACCACGCTCGTGTCTCGTTATTTCTTTTGATGTTCTTAATTTAATTAACTCAATGCTGCAGCAGCAACTGCAGCAGAAACAGCTCCTGCTGCTGCTTTTGCTGCAGCAGCAGAGCTGCTGGTCAGACGCACTCAGAGGGCGGAGACTCATTTGCCCATCTGACACAAGGGGACTGTTCACAGCTAGCTAGCTAGCTAGCTGGCTAGCTAGCCGCCTCAGCTAGCTGCAGCTAGCTAGCTGCAGCTAGCTAGCTGAGGAGCTTAGCGCAGCTAGCTGTAGCTGGTCATGGAGGGCACTGTGGCTGCGAGCTAGCTAGCTGGGGCTGCCACTAACTGCCTAAAAACACAGAAGCCGCCGCTAGCCATCTAGCTAGCTAGCTAGCTAGCTAGCTAGCTAGCTGGCCAGCTGGCTAGCCAGCCAGCTGTTGCCTAGGACAATGGGCATCTCTGGGTCGGCGGCTAGCTAGCCGGCTAGCGAGCCGGCTAGCTAGCCGGTTAGCTAGCCTCACTGGAGCTAGCCAGCTGGCTAGCTGCACACTGCAATTAACTAGCTAGCTCGCTAGCTAGCTAGCTAGCTAGCTGGCTGGGCTTGCCCCAACTAGGAAGTGAGTGTTGGGTCACTTGAAGTTAATTTCAGATTTCATGTCCTCTTGAGGCCTCTCGCTGGGTAGCTAGCTAGCTAGCTAGCTAGCTAGCTGAATGGGTGGCTAGATAGCTAGTTACCGAGTCAGGGACCTAGGCGGCTAGCTAGCTAGCTAGCTAGCTAGCTAGTTGCGTGGCTAACTGGATAGGCAGGCAACTGAGTAGCTAGCTAGCTAGCTGAGTGGCTAGCTATGTTGCTAGCTAGCTAGGCACGTAACTAGGTAGATAGCTAGCTAGCTAGCCAGCTAGCTAGCTAGCCAGCTAGCTTGTCTGAAGGAGGAGCGAGGCCACGCTGGGGGCTGCTTGTCTTTGCTGCTGCTGCTGCTTTTGCTTCTGGAGGCTTTCCTGTAGCTTCATAAAACAAACTTTGTTTCAAAAGTTCAGAAAATAAAATAAATGTAATTTATTAATTTATTTCTGTTTGCCATTTACTACAAAAACAAAAAAAGAAGTCCGCCGGCCTTGGCGGGCTAGACTGCCGCTGCAGCTGCTGGTGCAGCAGCAGCAGCTGCTGCTGCCGCTGCTGCCGCTGCAGCTGCTGGTGCAGCAGCAGCAGGCTGCAGCAGCTCTTGCTGCTCGAGCAGCGGCAAGCTCCTGCTTCGCTGTTTGCTTCTATCATGCATCCCCAGGAGTCGAGGTGGCTGCCTCGCTTGCTGCTGCTGCTGCTGCTGCTGCTGCTGCAGGTGCTGCGGTTGCAGCTGCGCAGCAACGTTGCTGCTGCTCCTGCCGATGCTGTAGCCCTTGCTGCTGCTGCTGCTGTTGCTGCAGCAATGGGGATGGCCAGGCCCACAAAGTGGCACCCGAGTGAGACTTCTGCTGCTTCAAATGCGCCAGCTTTTGCTGCTGCTGCGTTCCCTATAGCAGCAATAGCAGCAGCAGCAGCAGCAGCTGCTGCTGCTGCTGCTGCAAAAGCAGCGTCTCCTCTGCAACTGTGCCCTCTTATGCAGAAGTGGCTGCTGCTCTGCCAGCCAGTATCTGCTGCTGCTGCTGCTGCTGCTGCTGCTGCTCTTCGCGTTGCTGCAGCAGCTCAAGTTCCGCACTCTCTCTCTCTTCCTTCCACCTCACACGCCCCTCCTGCTGCTGCTGCCTCTTCTGCAGGTTGCTGCTGCTGCTGTTGCTGCTGCTGTGTCTTCGTGGCTCGGCCTTTGCAGGCCCTGAAACTGCGGGCTCTTTTACGCTGTTCGCTGATGCAGCTGCTGCTGCTGCTGCCGGGAGCAGCAGCAGCAGCAGCAGCGGGAACAGCAGCAGCACCGTTTCCATACTCCACGCTGCTGCGAGCTGTTGCTGCTGCTGACCGGCGCAGGCCAGAACTCGGCTTGCGATCTGCTGCAGGAGTTGCTGCAGCTGCTGCAGCAGAGCCTTGCTGCTGTCCTGGAAGCAGCAGCACCTGCTGCTGCTGCTGCTGCTGCTGCTGCTGCTGCTGCCCAACAGGCGGCAAAGGGCCCCCAGTCATCATGTAGGGCTGCTGCAGCGGCTGTTCGAGCAGCGGCTGCTGCTGCTGCAGCGGCGGCGGAATCACGCTGCCTCGCCGCTGCAGCAGGACTGGCTGCTGCTGCTGCAGCACACAAGGCTGCTGCTGCTGCTGCTGCTGCCCCGGTGGCACTCGAAGCCGCGGATCCTGCAGCGGCTGCTGCGGCGGTATGAAGCATGGCTGCTGCTGCTGCTGGTGCAGGGGGAATTGCTGCTGCTGCACGTGAGGCAAAAGCAGCAAATCTTGCTGCTGCTGTTGCTGCTGCGCCGGGTAGTGCATCATGAGCTGGCGCTGCACTGGCATCTGCGGCTGCTGCTGCAGTTGCTGCTGCGGTATTTGCTGCTGCGGCTGCTGCTGCAGTGCTTGCGGCGGGTGCTGCTGGAATGGCTGTTGCAGCAGCTGGTGCTGCTGCTGCTCTTCTGTAAAGGGCAGCCCCATGTGCATGCGCCCGAATACTGCTGGCTCCCCACTCGGTTGCTGCAGCTGCTGCTGCAGCTGCTGCTGCAGCGGCTGCTGCAGCGGCGGCTGGAGCGGCTGCTGCAGCGGCTGCTGCAGCGGCTGCTGCAGCAGCTGCTGCTGAGGGCCCATTATGTACCCCTGCTGCGGCATCAAGTGTTGCTGCTGCTGCTGTGGGGTTGAAAACAAATCAGGTGCTGCAGATACTGCTGCAGCGCCGCCTGCTGCTGCAGCTTTTTGGTGTAACAGCTGCTGCTGCTGCTGCAGGAGTTGTTGCTGCTCCTGCGGTGGCTGCTGCAGCCCTGCAGCAGGCGGCTGCGCCGGAAGCTGCTGCTGCTTAGGCAGGAGATGTAACTGCTGCTGCTGCTGCAGCAGCTGATCCTGCATCTGCTGCGACCCTGCGATGGGCTGGGTGTGCTGCTGCTGCTGCTGCTGCTGCAGGGGTGGACCGGCAGCAGCAGCAGCCAAGCTCATGTGCCTCGAGGGAGACTCTCCTTGGTGCAGCAAGCTATGCTGCTGCTGCTGCTGCTGCTGCTGCGGCGGAGGCAGCTGCTGCAGCGATGTGTCTTCCTCTTGAGTAGCAGGCAGATGCGAATAGGGTCTGCGGTCGCTGCTGCCGGAAGTAAACGAAGCAGCCGGCGACGCTGCTGCTGCTGCTGCTGCTGCTGCTGCTGCTGCAGCTGCTGCTGCTACGCTGGCGCTGCGGCTGCTGCCTGCGGGCCTCCGCGAGCCCCTGAAAGCAGCTTTTGCTGCTGCTGCAACACCGGAAGCCTTCCTGCTGCTGACGCTGCCTCCTTGGCGGCTGCTTGCTCCAGCAGCAGCAGCAGCAGCAGCAGTTGCTGCAGCAGCAACTGCGTCCATTGCTTGGCCTTGAGAGCTGCCGCTGCCTTTCGCCGCGGCTGCGGGCGGCAGAGCTGTAGCCGCAGCAGCAGCAGTTGCTGCAGCAGCAGCAGCAGCAGGATCTGCGTCTCCGAGCACACCCAGCTGCAGCAAACGGCGCTGCAGCTGCCGCGCGAGGCCCCCTTCTGCTGCTTCGGGGGCCCCCGAGAAGAAGCAGCAGTTAAGTGCTGCTGACCAAGGAAACTGCTGCTGCAGCAGCAGCAGCCGCTCCTCAACAGCTTCTGCTGCTTTTGACAAAGCCAACACCTTCTCCTTCTGCGCGCTGAGGGCGCTGCCCCAGTCGTCCGTCGTCCAGCTGCTGCTGCTGCTGCTGCTGCTGCTGCTGCTGCTGCTGCTGCTGCTGCTGCCGTCTGCGCAGTTGCTGCTGGAGTTGCTGCAGGGCTGAGAGTTCGGCGTGGCGCCGCCTTTGCTTCCGCCGCAGTCGCTGCCGTTGCTCTCCTCGCCGCCCTGCGGCACAGGCTGCTGCTGCTGCTGCTGCTGCTCGCCTCCAGCAGCAGCAGCTGCAGCAGCAGCAGCAGCAGCAGCAGCAGCTCCAGCTAGGGTCTTGCCTGCATCACTGGCCAGCCAGGAGAGACTAGAAGAAAGGGCATCAAGGGCGACCTCGTTGCCTTTCGTGTAGAGCCACTCTGTATGCTCTGCTGCTGCTGCTGCTGCTGCTGCAGCTGCTGCTGCTGCTGCAGCAGGACTGTCGCCGCGCTGCTGCTGCAGCACTTCCAGCGCCCGCGTTATGCTGCCATAAGGATCAATTTCTGCTCTTTCTTCTCTCACTTTCCAGTAGGCCAGAAACGGCTGCAGCGCCTGCTGCAGCTTCTCCTCGCGAGAGCTGCCTTCTGCTGCTGCTGCTGCTGCTGCTGCTGCTGCTGCTGCTGCTGCTGCGGTCCGCTTGACTTGCCCATCAGGACACACCCAAAGAGACTCCGCCTCGCCGCCGCCCACAACCAGCACGTGCTGGTCCTGCGCAGACAGCACGCTGCTGCTGCTGCTGCTGCTGCTGCCTGCTGCTGTGGTGGCATCTGCTTCGCTCTCCTCTCCGGTCCCCTCTTGCTTTACACATGCAGCAGCAGCAGCAGCAGCAGCAGCAGCAGCAGCAGCAGGCGCGCCGCAGGCGGCAGCCATAACGAGTCTTTCGCGGTCAATTCGCTGCTGCACTTTTGCTGCTGCTGCTGCTTCTGCTGCTGCCCAGGCAGCAGACTGCTGCTGGCAGGCTTCCGCAAGCGCAACAGCTCTTGCTGACGCTGCTGCTGCAGCAGCAGACGGCTGCTGCGGCAGCAGCAGCAGGGCTGCAGCACTATCTCTGCTGTCTCCCCAAGAACAGTTAGGGGCCCCGGTTTGGTCGAGCAGCAGCATCTGCTGCTGCTGCTGCTGCTGCTGCTGGTCTTGCCAGGCACTTGTGTCGACAGTTGCTGCCTCTGGGTCGAGTCCTGCTGCTGCTGCTTCTGCTTCCGCTGCTGCTGCTGCTGCTGCTGCTTCTGCTGCAGCACGCGCCTTAGCCAGCCGCCGCCGCCTTGAGCTTGCACTCATTCCCGGCGGCCTGCCCCCTGGATTAGTTGCTGGCAGCAGCACAGCAGCAGCTGCTGCTGCTGCTGCTTCTGCAGGGCTTAGCGGCAGCCGCGAAGGGGGGCCGTCAGCAGCAGCAGCAGCAGCAGCAGCAGCAGCACCAGGTCCAGCAGAAGAATTAGAACCAACAGATTTGCTGCGGGACTCCCACCTTCCTAGGGCGTTCCTGGCGGGCCCCTTCTGGACTGTTGCTGCTGCTGCTGCTGCTGCTGCTGCTGCTGCTGTTGCTTCTACAGCTGCTGGAGTCAGCGACCCCGGTGATGCTGCTGCTGCAACTGACTTCAAGGCCTTCCGCTGCTGCTGCTGCAGTGGAGACGACTCTGCTGAGCCCTGCAGGGAGAGGTGAAGACTGTCTGCTGCTGGTGCTGCTGCTGCTGCTGCTGCTGCTGCTGCTGCTGGGTGCTGCTGCTGCTGCTGCCGCAGCAGCGCGTCGATTTCAGACACCCGCCAAACCCTGTGAACCCCTTCTTGCGGCTGCTGCTGAAGCAGCAAAGCTTGCTGCTGCAACACAACCTGCTGCTGCTGCAGCTGCGCGGCAGCAGCGGCGCTGCTGCTGGCGCTGTTGCTGTCTTGCGGCTGCTGCTGCTCCTGCTGCGCCTGCGTGGACGTGGATGCTGCACTTGCAGCAACAGCTAATTGCTGCTGCTGCTTTTGGAAGTGCTGCTGCTGCTGCTGCGCAAACTTTAAGCACGCAGCAAGAGAGGCCACAGAGCCGCCAGCAGCGGGAGCAGCAGCAGCAGCAGCAGCAGCAGCAGCAGCAGCAGGAGCAGCAGGGGGAATAATCATGCACATTGTTGCGTCGCAGCCGCTGATCCACCGAACTCTGTAAACTCCACTGCCCTCCTGCTGCTGCTGCTGCTGCTGCTCTGAGTGCTGCTGAGGCGGGTAGCCCGCAGCAGCAGCAGCTGCTGCTGTCAGCTCCTCGACCCACACGCCACTTTCTATAGATCCCTCTGCAG